CACTGATAATAATCTCTGATAATTCTAAATAGTCCTAATCTCTCTAAGAAATTAAAGAGAATCTCAAAAGTTGACTCAGTGAATTAGTGTTTAGTTACTATTTACAATCACATGCAGATGCGGAAAATTGCTCACCTAAACCATCATATATAAGAACTACCCAAATCCAATTTTACAAGTCATTAATTTTTCCTTTTTAATTAATAAGATTAGTATTGTCTGGTAATAACTCAAAAGTAGATGAAAATGAAATTTTAATTAAAAGACCTAAAAAGTCAATAAATCTACCAACAAGTCATTAATTGCTTATTAGCAAAGCAATTAAAAATTTTAAGAAATTTATGGGAATGACCTTTTTCTCCGGCAATTCCTTAGCAGATGATTTGAACACTTTCTTCACAGACCAAAACCAACCGCTCCCTTTCTTCCCCATCTCCGGGGTATCGGCCTTCATAGCAATCAAAACAACCATACATCAACACATTAGACAGTAAACACTCAGAAATCACCACAACACAGCAGAGAAAAAATAATAACAATAACCTCTTCGAAAAAAAATAATAATGATAACAAATATATTTTATCCGGTGAAGAAGAAAATGAAAGTTGTAGGTTTCATTTTTACATTTTCAGTTTTTCAAATATATCAAAAATATATCGGTAAATGTAGAGTTGGTTTTCATTTCGAACAGTTAGAACTAATAGAAACCACGCAAAAAATGAAGCAGAGAACAAGTAAGGAAGATCATCGAAGTGGAAAAGGGAGGAAAACAAAGGGAAATGACTGAAAAAATTGAAAACAAAAACCTGCGATGTGATCGAGTCGAGATTGTGCGATCACTTGGTTTCGCTTCTTAAGCATCTTCTACATATGATCTCTGGCATTTTTACATTATACGTATCAATTCCTGAGTTTTCTAATCTTCTTCTGGCCTTTTTTGTTCTTGTGAAGAAGGTTACAGTGCAGAGACTTTCAGAGAGAGAGAGAGAGGGAAGGAAGAAGGAGGAAGGAGGTGGGTGCGTGAGAGTAGTAACTGCTTACCCGCGTAATCGCCGTTGGAATTTATCAGATTCACGGGAGAGAGAACGACGTGGCGTAGGATACTGTTGATCACAGACCAATGAAATCTCGACACGTCACCTTCCGAACCTAGATATCACGGCCTGTGTAGAAGGTGGTAACGGCTTCTTGAGGTAATCACCAGAAATCCATCCACCACCCGCAACTTGCCCATCGCGCACCCTTTTTATTTTTATTTTTATTTTTATTTTTTTATATCGTAAATTTAAATTAAAAATATTTATTTCCTGTAAAAATAAAAATAAAAAACTAAAATAATTAAACTATATTTAAATAATTTTAATTCAAAAAATAATTTTAATTAATTAATTAAATTAATAAATTATAACAATAACAAATAGACCTAACATCACTATTAATCTCTTAATACATTAACTTGATTAATTAGTTAATATTATTTTTTAAATTATTTTTAAAGCATTCTAACATAATTTAATTATTTTAAAAATAATTAAACATTTAATTATAAAAAATAATTAATTTTAAATATTAATTAATAATTTATCTAAT